CTTTGGTTGTTAACTTAATAAAAAAAATACTTTTCATTCGACTCTGCTCAGATTCCAGCATATAGTTAACATTATAGAGATTTTGCCCCAAATTCTAATATAGAAATTGTGCCGATCTTATCCGGATCAGCAATTAAATAATTTAAAAGAAAGCCCTAATTATACTGGATATCCAGTTTTATATTATAGGAAGACTTGGCAGTTTAAATCAATTTAATAATTTAAAAGAAAGTCCTAATTATACTGGATATCCGGTTTTATATCATAGGAAAACTTTGTATGATTGGCAGTTTAAATCAATTTAATAATTTAGAAAGTTCTAATTATACCAGGTTTATATTATAGGAAGACTTTCGTATGATTGGTAGTTTAAATCAATTTAATTTTACTTTTTTAAAAAATAAAATTACAAAGAATAAACAAAAAAAAAGTATATAGAAAGGTTTATTAGAGTTGTAGGACTCAATCATTAAAGATAATCAAAATTATTTCTGGTTTTAGAGAAGTTAGCATAATAGCGACTTCTTAAAGATAGAATTAGGCTATTACCATGTTAGCTTCTCGAAAACAAACCTACAACCCTAATAAACCTTTGAATATAATAAATTAATGATTATTTGTACTCGTGCCTAATGATAAATAATGTAAAATTAAATTGATTTAAACTGCTAATCATACGAAAGTCTTTCCATGAGGTTTTATAAACTGAAACTCCCGATGTAATTAAGGCATCTCACTATGCCCGAGACCTATTAAAGGGAATATACGCCAATTCACAAGTACTTAAAATTGCGAGCATAGGTTTTTCTTTATTAACATAAATAAATACATTAAATTATCACAATATTACTAAATATATACTATCAAACATCGTTTTTCCCTTCATAGACTAAAACTATGCCCTTATATGTATATACGTATATACAGTATTTAATTTGTATAAGAGTTTAACTATATAACAAATATAAGAAATACATGAAACGACAATAATAAAATAATGCCACTAAAAAAATTGGGCAACACCAGTGATTTACCTGACCGGCCGTTACTATGAACGTATGATATTGACATTTTAGTAGTTATAGATTGGCAAAAGAAAAACAGTTGGTAATCATTTATCATCGACTTCGTTATAGAAACAGCTCCTAATTAAAATGAATATATCAGCAAAAAACTTAAACATTAAGCCACAAAAGTATCAAATTACCAATTCGAATCTTGAAAGATATTATTCAACAAATCGAAGAGATATATAGGATCTTTGCTAGGAAAATCACCCTTCGGGATTTTCTAATCAGACTAATTCGGAAAAGTTTAGACCAAAATATCGATTCTTATTCATATATAAATGACTATCTAATAAATAAAGCAAAAGGCGATTTACACATGAATAAGAATCGGCATTTTGGTCTAAACTTTTCTGAATTAGCCCGATTGGAAAATCCCGAAAGGTGATTTTCCTAGCAAAGATTCCATATGTTTAGTTGATGTGAAATCGGTGGGCGAAGTTTTATTACATATATACGAACATTGTATATATAAGGTATTGTCAAAAAAACAATGTAAGTAAAAAATAAAAGTAATAATCAAAGAAAAAAATAATTACTGATATCAAGGTAATATTCGACACCAGGGTCCACAAATGCTAATGATAGTATAGTTGGAAATTCTGGAATGATATTTCAGCATTTCGGCTTTTTTTAAAAAATTTCAATTGTATAATCTATACTCTCAGTGATAGTAATAATGTTTATCTTCCTTTTCACTGCCAATAAGGACAAAAAAATAAGTTAGTTTATAATGGAATTAACAGAATTCCTATCATGAATTAGCATAGATAACTCTGTTACAAACCTATTCGACTATAGAATTTACTCGCAATCCCAGTGAATATAATATATAGTTAAAATAAATTAGTTTGCATTAAAATTAAATATTTTTAACATAAATTATATACGATAAAAATTCAATTACCTGGGATTACAATGGCACACGGTAAGAGTGCATCAGCTTATCATGATTCAAATAGGAGGTACTATAGAAAATTCAGCACAGGCACGATAATTTAGTAAAGTTGGGTAGTATGAATTTTATAACGAATTATTGTAAAAAAGTTTGTTTGAAGAACTTACTCGCTATTCCAGTGATGTAAAGTATGTGGGTATAAGATGAGTTAATTTGTCTTGGAATGCTCATAATTTTTAATGTAAGTAACCAAGAAAAATTCTGGTACAGGACTTGCTCGACATCCTAGTGACATATGGTATACGGTTAAAATAAGTTAGTTTACATTAAAATTAAATATTTTTTAATATATATAAGCCACAATTAAAAAATTCAATTAACAAACTTAGTTCAGATTACAATAGTGCACAGTAAGATTATCATGATTCGCATAGGAGGTACATACTATAAAAAATTCGGCACAGGCTAGTAAAGTTGGGTAGCGTAAGTTTTATAATAAATTATTATAAAAAATTTTAAGAACTTACTCACTATTCTAATGATGTAAAGTATGGGTATAAGATAGGTTAATTTGTCTTGAATACTCATGATTTTTAATGTGAGTTATCGAGAAAAATCCTGTTGCTACAGAATTAGTATACAGTTAAAATAAGTTAGTTTGCATTAAAATTAAATGTTTTTTAACATATAAGCTACAATGTTGCACAGTAAGATTATCATGATTCGAATAGGAGGTACATAGTGTGGATTCGGTTTTCTATCGCTTATTGTCTTCTTTAAGTGTCTTCGTTTCTTGAGCCAAACTATCTCGGTCGAGTTGTAAACTTTTGATTTGTGCTATAATAATTTAAAAAAAAAGAATAAGACATTATTATCATTAAAATAATTTACACCGAAATGTCTAATGATTACCATCTAGTGCTTGCACTTTTTTCTCTGCTTTTTTCAACGAAGATTCCGACATGGTAGCTTGTTTTTAGTCGTTTACCTGCAGCTCTCAATGTCGAAAATTTTGCTATGGAATTTACTCGCAATTCCAGTAACATATAGTATATGGGTAAAATAAGTTAGTTTGCATTAAAATTAAATGTTTTTTAATATATAAGCCACAATTAAAAATTCAATTAACAAACTTAGTTGGGATTATAATAATACATAGTAAGATTATCATAATTCGCATAGGAGGTATGTATTATAAAAAATTCAGCACAGGCTAGTAAAGTTGGGTAGCGTGAGTTTTATAATGAATTATTGTAAAAAATTTTAAGAACTTACTTGCTATTCCAATGATGTAAAGTATGAGTATAAGATGAGCTAATTTGTCTTGAATGCTTATGATTTTTAACATAAGTTACCAAGAAAAATCCTGTTGCTACAGAATTAGTATACAGTTAAAATAAGTTAGTTTGCATTAAAATTAAATGTTTTTTAACATATAAGCTACAATGTTGCACAGTAAGATTATTATGATTCAAATAGGAGGTACGTAGTGTGGATTCGGTTTTCTATCGCTTATTGTCTTTTTTGAGTGTCTTCATTTCTTGAGCAGAACTATCTCGGTCGAGTTGTAGACTTTTGACTTGTACTATTTGATAATTTAAAAAAAAAGAATAAGACAAAATAATTTACACCAAAATGTCTAATGATTACCTTCTAGTACTTGCACTTTTTCCTTTGCTTCTTTCAACGAAGCTTCCGACATACTAACACTTGCAGCTCTCAATGTCAAAAATTTTGCTAAAGAACTTTCTCAATATTCTAGTAATCTGTAGCAAGTGGGTAAAGGTGAATTAGTCTTACCAAAAAAAAATTTTGGTACAGAATGTACTCATTATTTTGGTAGTACAGATTTAAAAAAAACTTGTAAAGTTACGCATTACGCTTATACGCGTCATAGTGTTAGTTTCTATCCAATAATATTCTTACAATTTACTGTTACACAATTTAATTGAATTAATTTATAAGGATAATCTAAACATTATCATTATACACAAATTTTTTTATTATATAGTTATAGATAACATTATAATCAATTAACCAATCGATTGGATTAGCAATTAGTCAACCAATCGATTAGTTGACCAATCAACTAATCGATTAATCAGCTAATCGATTAAGTTGGTTTGGTAAAATGGAATCGATTAGTTGTCAACTTGATTAACTAATCAATTTTTCAACTTTCAATTTGTAGCACTAAATTATGGCAGGCAACTCTAGATAGCACTATCTAGAAATAAAAAAAGACTGTATCTAGTCTGAAAATAAAAAAACTATAGACTATATATTCATGTTATATAGAGAAATGCAAGCTAGTTATTAGTTAGAACTTGCTTAAAGTTTCAAATTAGAAAGTAGTATAAAATCATTAATAGTGTTATAGAAAAAAAAACTAATTAGAAACAAAACTAAAAAACTAACAATTATAACTCTTATAAATTCAGGGTTATACCAACCTGGCTACTAAAGTTATATCAGAAAAAAAATCATATGCTTTAGAAACATGTACTAAAAAATGAGTACTACAGTCAAATCTCTCTAAATGCACCCTCCCTAAATGCAGTATCTCTCTAAATATATAACATAAGTCTGGACCATAGTGAAATTTATAGATAAATGCATATTCTTTATTTTGTAAATGTATACTAATTGTCTGGCCTGCTTATAAAAACTCCCTTCATAAGTGTATTCATATAATTATTAGCTAATTAAATCTATTATTCCTAGGCTATTAAAACTATATTTATCATATAATAATAGTATGTTGTGATTTTAATAGTGTTCTTTAATTGCAATTTTCTTTAAATACATGCTTTAAAGCTGGTCCCAATAACATGTATTTAGGAAGGTCTAACTGTATATAGTATTTAAAGCCTAGACAGGCCAATTTTTCTAGGCTAGCTGGATTGGAAGATAAAAATTTTAAGAATAAACCCAGAGTGTTAGAAAAAAAATAAGTACTAATATCATGTATAAACCTTAATAAGAGCAAGTATTAACTATAAGAATAACTTCCAAGTACCAAGTTAAGTTATGATATAAAGTAATACAAATTCTAAAATACAAATTTCAAGTAGATGATAAAAAACTATTTGTTAATAATAAATACCAAAATAAATATATTAGAGTTAGTTAAATAAATAGATAAATTTGAATAATATATACAAGTTTATCAATATATACTAAGACTTATTAGCAGTCAACTATATTAGAATATTAATAAACCACTAGTCTCAAGTAGTGACTTGAATCAGTTGAGCTATAATTAATTAACTGATCTGAACTAAATAAATTTTGGGTAACTAGTTAAAAAAATTTTTAATTATTTAATTTAATACAACTGGTTGACAGAATTAATATAATACGAAAATAACAAATTAACATAAAGAAAGAGTAAAAAATCTGAAAAGTTTTGACAAAAAATAAATGAATATAAAAAATAAAACAAAATTAGTATAAAACTCCAATAATTTCTAAAAGTATTAATATTAATCTTAATTGGTTGGCAACTGGTTGAATAAAATAATTTGGTTCAGTTAACTAATTAAAGAAATTTTTCTTATTTTAAATCACTAGTCTCAAAATAAAAAAAAAACAATAAGTACTATTTTATAGTTTCTTGTAACTCTTCTAGAAGTGTAGTTTTGCTTAATAAATTTATATTTTCTATAAATTAGTTTTTTTAAAATTTTAGTAGAAGTAATTATTAAAAAAGTTATTATAAACTAGAATTAAATATATATATTTTAGTAGAAGTAATTATTAAAAAAAGTTATTATAAAATAGAATTAAATATATAGTTAGACCTCTCTAAGTGTATATCATTGGACTAGCTCTGAGGTATATATTTAGAGAGGGTTGCATTTAGAAAACACTAATAGAATTATAGTATATGAGCAACCGTCAATAGAAATTAAGCAGATCTTTATTTAAAAAAAAGTTAATACCTTAGCTTTCATAGCTTATATCTCGATGAATTTTAAAGCTAATATAATAGTTTTATATTCAAAAGAAAGCTTATGATCTAAGCTTTCTTTTGAATATTAAACCATCAATGTAGCTTTAAAATTCATCGAGATATGAGCTGTGAAAGTTAAGGCATTAAATTTTTTTAAATGTAAATTTGCTTGATTTCTATTGATGGCTGCCTATATACTATATAAGTCACATGTTAAAATTATCTTTATAGAATTATATAATCTTGTTTTGATTGGCTAATAATTACATGATATGCATTTATAGAGGGATTTATATAGGTGGGCCAGGAAAATAGAATGTATTTGCAAAATAAAGAATATGTATTTATCTATTAAGCCCATTGATGGGCCAGATAATTAATATGCATTTAGAGAGGTTATGCATTTAGAGGGGATGCATTTAGAGAGGTCTGACTGTATATAAAATAATTAAATTAAACTAGAACTACATCAGCAAAATATATAACTGTAATCTTACGTAAGATATTATGGCTCATAATATTGCACAAGAATTACGGTCTGGGCATAATACTGCGTAATTTATTACGGAATATTGCGCAATTTATTATGGAATATTACACAATTTATTACGGAATATTACACAATTTATTATGGAATATTAGAGCCAAATAGAGCTTTAAACTACGTCACAAAGCTTTAAGTCGAACTATGATATAAGATTACTTATTGGAATTATATACTCACGAGTACATATACCCGCATCATATGATATATATATTAATATTGTAATAATATAGGATATCTCTTATTAATTTTTTAAAAATTTTATTTTTAACAAAAACGTGTAGACAATATTTTTAAAATATCATTGCACAACAAATGTTTTAAATATCGTTGTGCAACAAACATTTCAAGCATTGTTGCATAACGAATGTTTTGAATAATATATATACTATCCATAAAACTAATAGCATAAAACATTAACTATTCTAACGCTTGTATTATAGAACACTAACGCCAACATGACTATCCTAAAAGAAAATGCAAACAACGATATGCTAAACTACCAACAATAGGAGCCACAACAATCACGAAAAGTCTTCAAATAATGAATTTACCAATAACGAAGGCTATAACAAATGCAAAAAATGAAAATAACAAAACCTAACCGAAAATAAGGGCGTTAGTAAATGTATCCACAAAGCCTAAAAAAAAAACCAACAAATAAAAAAACAACCAAAAACAATTATTTGAGTAAAATTCAACACAACTATACAAGACACACCAAAAATTGCCAAAATCACAATGACAAATAATGAACGATTTCGATCGAGACAAGCCACAACAGAAAAGTTTCTATAATGAATGCTAAAAATAGCAATATACGAAAACAAAAAGTATTAGATAGTATTAGTGAATATGACCAACCTAATATCACAAATAAAAAAAAATAACCAAAAACTATTATTTAAACAAAACACAAGAATCACTAAAAATTATTAAAATCAACAACAACACAATACTCCAAAAATAATGGCTTAAACGACAAACGATTTGGACCAAAACGAACTACAACAACCACTAAGAGTCACCAAATGATAAAAAATGATAACAACAAAATTTATACAAAACAAATATTAGTTAGTGTCAATGAATATGTTCACAAATAAGAATAATAAAATCATATAGCCCCAAAGAAAAACATATTTAATGGCACCAATGAAGTTACTGAAATGACCAAGATACACCGAAATCACAACGACACTGCACTCCAGTAATAATAATTTCAATCGAGATGTACCAAAAAACTATAGAACTATGAAGGTACTACATTAAATATCAACAATAGTAAAACAACACCAACAGAAGCGGCGATATCAAAATGACGAAGCTAGTGACGAAATTACCTATATATGCTAGAAAAAAAAAATAAAAGTTATCAAAACAAGAAAAAATTACACCCTGATCACTGTTTATATAACCCGTGATTAAATCATGTTACACAGAGTACATCAATATTAATTTTTATATATACTGTATAAATATTTTTTTTAAAAAAAAATAATGCTAATAAAACTAATAAGAAGAGCATATCCACTTTTATATTATCAAGCTAATTATAATGAACTAATTCAAATACTCGATTAATTGAAGCAAAATATAAAATATTTTTACAAAAAGATCTAATATTGCTTTTGAATACTTTGATTAACAAATTATTTAACTTTTCGGTTAAATTAACCTAATAATGAGAATATTAGATAATTTATAATCTTAGGGAAGTGCAGTTTATTACGTAATTAGAGTTTACATAGATTATACCCCCTCCCCCTTTAGTAATAGGCTATTAACCAATCAAATTTTATCTTTTATAATATTTTAAAATATATAAAATTTAACAACTTCCAGCTATGAATTTCTTAACAACTACTAATCCAAATTGGATGAAATTTTTTTTTTTAAATAGATAAGACATTAGGCTACAACATATTAAAATTTTATGCAATTTGGATAAATAATTCTTGAGAAATTGCTTAAATACTATATACAATTATTTTAATTAATTTATATATAATATATTAGTAATTTCTCAAGAACCACCAATCCAAATTGGCTGAAATTTTAATATGTTGTAACACCATATTATAACTATTTATAATAAAAATTTCATCCAATTTGGATTAGTAGTTGTTGAGAAAATTATAGCCGGAACTACATATATATGTATAGTTTTTAAAATTTTTGCTATATTTTTTTAAATTTATAT